ACAAAAGGAGCAGATCGCGGATGTGTTTATTTCACTCTCCGAGTCAGAATGAAAATGGCATCTTCAAATTTCCCGCTGGTACAAAAACACGGAAGTGCGCCACAAAGCACTAGTCGTCGAAAGTATGCGTGCATGCTCTCTGTCACACACGCACACACACGCAGAGATAGAGCGTTCTGTGTCAACATACTTTTTATCTTTGGGCTTTTTATAGAAAGTAGCAAGTCTTTACAAGTCAATAGGCGCAAGTCCAAGTGAAAGTCCGAGTCATTTATGTTCAAGTCCAAGTCGAGTTGCAAGTCTTTTTATATTTTGTCAAGTCGAGTCTGAAGTCATCAAATTCATGACTCGAGTCTGACTCGAGTCCAAGTCACATGACTCGAGTCCACACCTCTGGCACTGGGGAGGACGATGTCCACACTTGTGGTTCAGGAATGCCACCTCTGGCTAAACCTGGCCGATATGCACGATGTCGACAGTTCGCTTTCTTGACTCGCCCATATCCCAGGCTGGCCTGTTCGGCAACACCGTCGGTGAATTCACCCAGGAATTCAAGGCGGTAAAAGAGCAGTCGGATGCGATGGGCAATGTCATCTATCGGCGTGGCTGTAAGCCCGCTCCACCCACCGAGCCATCCACCTCAGCTGCTCCTCGCCGAGGGCGCCCGCCAACGAGTGCTGCCCCGCCCCCACCTGCGCCTCCGGCCAAGAGGGCGCGGCGTGCACCTCGAAAGCAGGCAGCCCCCCCTGCCCAGGGCGCCGTTAAGTCCGGTAAACGGACCGCGAAGCGTCCCTGAGACAGGCCATCCGGAGAAGAGGAAACTTGCTCTTTCCCCGCTGGAGGGCGGGGCCCCAATTACAACGGTACTTTTCAGTGCCACCACAACATCAATGAAAGAACACTTTTCCCCTTCCCCGGATGTGACAGCACAAACTCTGCCAGTCCGGGACGCGCTGACTTCCGGCTCGCAGATTCTACGTGCTTCGCCAGTGGCTCATGAGTGCTGGGGGGACGGTCTCCCTTCCCTCAGCTCTCCAGCCCCCTCTCCGGAGTCAGGGTGCGGAGCCAGAGCGAATCGCTCTCCTCCAGCTCTTCCCTCGTGCTTCCCTGATCAGCACACCCAATCCGCGCTGCTCCACCGCTGGTACGTCAGCGATTGTAGCGATGACTCCATTAGCGAGGGCTCTGCCTGCCTGGTTAGCGCGGGCCAGCCCCGCGCGGTGGCTTATACGCACAATCAGACTTGGTTACGCGATTCAGTTTGCGAAACGGCCCCCCAAGTTCACGGGCGTGTATTTCTCCAGGGTCAACCCCCTGTCGGCCCCTGTCTTGTGAGAGGAGATTGCTGCCCTCCTGGCGAAGGGTGCAATCGAGCCAGTTCCTCCAGCCGAGATGGAGAGTGGGTTTTACAGCCCATACTTCATCGTACCCAAAAAGAGCGGTGGGTCACAACCAATCCTAGATCTGCGCGTTTTGAACCGCTGTCTGCACAAGCTGCCGTTCAGAATGCTCACGCAGAGGCGCATTCTCTAATGTGTTTGTCCTCAGGATTGGTTTGCAGCCATAGACCTGAAGGATGCATATTTCCATGTCTCCATTCTTCCACGCCACCGCCAATTTCTGTGGTTTGCGTTCGAGGGTCGAGCGTGGCAGTACAAGGTCCTCCCCTTCGGGCTCTCTCTGTCTCCGCGGGTCTTCACCAAACTTCGCGGAGGATGCCTTTGCGCCCCTTCGGCTCGCGGGCATCCGCATACTCAATTATCTCGACGACTGGCTGATTTTAGCCCACTCGCGGGAGCAATTGATTATGTACAGGGACAAGGTGCTTCGGCATCTCCGCCTACTGGGGCTTCAGGTCAACCGAGAAAAGAGCAAACTCGCCCCCGTGCAGAGGATCTCTTTTCTCGGGATGGAGCTGGACTCGATCACCATGGTAGCGCACCTCTCCGAGGAACGCGCTCGCCTGTTGCTGAACTGTCTGAGAGAGCTCGACAGCAAACTAGTGGTCCCACTGAAGTTCTTTCAGAGGCTCCTGGGGCATATGGCATCCGCAGCCGCCGTCACGCCACTCGATTGCTCCATATGAGACCACTGCAGCACTTGCTTCATGATCGGGTCCCAAGACGCGCATGGCACGCATGGTCTCTGTTATTGCGCTGTGTCGCCGCGCCCTCAGCCCTTGGAACAACCCCTTCGTTCCTACAGGCCGGTGTGCCTCTAAGACAGACCTCCAGCCATGTTGTTGTTTCAACGGATGCTTCCAACATGGGTTGGGGAGCCGTGTGTCGCGGGCATGCAGCTGCGGGCCTGTGGAAGGGTGCCCAGTTGCATTGGCATATCAATCGCCTAGAGCTGTTGGCAGTGTTCCTTGCTCTCCACCGCTTTTTACCGGTGCTGGAGCGGCAAAACGTGCTGGTCAGGACGGACAGTACGGCGGCGCTGATATCAACCGCATGGGGGGTATGCGCTCTCGCCGCATGTCTCAGCTTGCCCGCCGTCTGCTCCTCTGGAGTCACCCGCGGCTGGAATCGCTGCGTGCCATTCACGTTCCAGGCACTTTCAATCGTGCAGCCGATGCGCTCTCACGACAGCTGTTACGCCCTGGAGAATGGAGACTCCACCCCGAGTCTGTTCAGCTGATATGGGCGCAATTCGGGGAGGCCCAGATCGATCTGTTTGCTTCCCCCGAGAACGCTCATTGCCAGTTGTTTTTTTCCCTGACCGAGAGCTCTCTTGGCACGGATGCACTGGCCCACAGCTGGCCTCGGGGCATGCGCAAGTATGCGTTTCCTCCATTGAGCCTGCTCGCGCAGTTACTGTGCAATGTCAGGGAGGACGAGGAACAGGTTCTGCTAGTTGCGCCCCTTTGGCCCAACCGGACCTGGAAATCAGAGCTCTCACTCCTCGCGACTGCCCTCCCCTGGCGGATCCTATTGAGAGAGGACCTACTCTCTCGGACATGGCACCATCTGGCACCCTCGCCCCGATCTTTGGAACCTCCACGTGTGGTCCTTAGACGCGAGGAAGACTTAGGTAACCTACCGACTGCGGTGGTTAATACCATCACTCAGGCTAGAGCCCCCTCCATGAGGCGCGCCTACGCCCTGTAGTGGAAACTATTCACTGAATAGTGCGTCTCTCGCAGAGAAGACCCCCGAAACTGCCAGATCAGTGTTGTGCTCTCTTTCCTTCAAGAGAAGTTGGACAGCAGGCTGTCGCCCTCCACTCTCAAGCTTTACGTGGCCGCCATCTCCGCTTATCATAACGCGGTAGCTGGTGGCACCGTGGGAAAGCATAACCTCATCATCCGGTTCCTTAGGGGTGCTAGGAGAATTAATCCATCTCGCCCCCCTCACATGCCCTCTTGGGATCTCGCCCTCGTTCTCACAAGTTTGCGAGCAGATCCCTTTGAGCCACTCCACACCTGGAGGCATTTTCGGTCAGTGACTCGTGCCTGGAATTCGGGCCGGATTACTCTCACGTCATCCTGAGACCCCGCCCGGGTTATGTGCCCAAGGTTCCTACCACCCCCTTTAGAGATCAGTTAGTGAACCTGCAAGCGCTGCCCCCGGAGGAGGCAGACCCAGCCCTTTCTTTACTTTGTCCAGTACGCGCTCTGAGCAATTTTTGTGGACCGTACTCAGAATTTTAGATCATCTGAGCAGCTGTCTGTCTGTTATGACGGTCGGCAGCAGGGAAGTGCCGTATCGAAACAAAGATTATCCCACTGGATTGTGGATGCCATTTCACTCCCTTATTCGAGTCGAGGTCAGCCGTGTCCCCCGGGAGTGCGTGCACACTCCACTCGGAGCGTTGCATCCTCTTGGGCGTGTGCACGCGGCGCCTCTCTAACAGACATCTGTAGAGCTGCGGGCTGGGTGACACCCAACACATTTGCAAGGTTTAACAATCTGCGGGTGGAGCCGGTTTCCTCAAGGGTATTAGGTAACCCTTTGGTGATTGAGGAAACAACTCGGTAGGGTGTTGAGACACGCTTGCTGTGTCATTTTCTCTAACACAGAGATACGTGCGCCTTTTTATCTGTCAGTAAAGTTCCCCGTCAGGTGAGCCCTGCAGATTCCTCCGTGGCCCCCAGCACCGACTCAGCGGAGGAGTCACTTGCTGGCCCACTACTTTGTAGGTCTGCCCGCTGGTCAGCCTGCGTTTTTTGGTATAGGTGCCTGCTATGTGTGGTCCCCACTAGGCGATCCCATATGCTTATTCCCCCACCCCCCCCCCCCCCCCCAACCCCCCCCCCCCCGGGCGGACCCTCTCCGCTAACCACTTTTTTGCTATGCGTACTCCCCCTTTTTAGGGCTAGTCCATATGTAAATTCTGTCATCTATCCCCCCTTGGGTAACGGATGGCCTCCACAGCTTCCTCCCTATCTGGATTGCACGCTTCCCAATGTACTGTCGTATTTCCTAGAATTATCTACATGCTCACGACTTCCCAAAAAATATATCTAAATCCGTAAAACTTCTGTTGAAGTAGGATAAATTAGGGCCAGGGACACGTTGGAGGACCGCGCCTCCCATGATGTGGGTGCGTCACACTTGCTTGACTATCCCCTCATCGGGGGCGTTGGTAAGGTGCCGTCATTATGGCGCTTTCCATAGTTCTCCCATTTCGTGGATTTTCACAAAGATCAAATCCATTTAATAGCACTGAAGTTCCCCAACCGAAGGGGAACGTTCGAGGTTACAGAAGTAACCCTTCGTTCCCCGAGGAGGGGAACGGAAGTGCTATACTCCGTCGCCATAATGACTATCCCTAAGCTGTTTGAAAGTCTCTTCAGCTTAAAAGGATGGCGTTTGCTCGCAGCACACCTGCGCAAGCTTACGCTGCCAATTCATTTCATTCATTGGCCCGTTCAATACTCTCCAGACAAGCGGCTTCTGATCCGAATCCTCCCATTTTGTGGATTTTCACAAAGATCAAGTCCACTTAATAGCACTTCTGTTCCCCTCCTCGAGGGTTACGAAGGGTTACTTCTGTAACCTCGAACGTTCTTGAATGTTGGTTCCGGCCTAAATATAAAACATAGAAAATAAAAACACATCTTACTAAATTAGTTTTTTTTTTACTTTACAATCAGTCCAGCAGGTATTGGTTTTAAGCAGACAACAGAAAGTGACAGAAAATACAAAATTTACTTAATTGAATGAAGATAATGAGGTGCTTTTATGCTTGAGATGCAGACATCTTTCTAGGTATCTTTTGGCCTTGTGGTGAAGGTGGGATCAAATGAAGCAAAAGAAGAATAGAGGCAATGTCACTGCTCCATCCTAAAAACAACAACAACCAAAGGCAACATCAGAAAAAAAGTGTTTAAACCTTATTAAAAGTTTAAATAGAACACTGACAGCCTAACCTGCTTCAGCTGTTTCATTGTCTGTCACAGAATTTTCTGCTGAATCAATCAGGTCCTGGAGGTCTTGGGATGAGTGAAGACATTTGCTTTGTTGAATAACCTTCTGCTTCAATGTAGTTGAACAACTTTCCAACAACTTTGCAGAAGTTCTCTCGTCAAAAATAGACACAAAATCCAGTTCAATCTGTAAAAAATCATCAGAAAAGACAAAAACTAAATTTAAAAACTAAAAAGTAATTTTTTTTTAATATATAAATCGAGTTAAACTGTCAGAGTATGAGAATTTTATTTCACAACTTAAATTTTTGTCCCTCATCTGTTAACACCAACAATTAGATTGTCATTTACAGTAAACATGAAGGGTCAAAAAATGTCAATTATGGGGCATCTTAATGATTATGGGATAATAGCTACAGGCTTTTTTATATATAATAAATGTAGCCCTCAAAACATCATACAAATATTTAAATAACTTTTCAGTCTGAATAATGCCTTTCAACTAAAGAATATGCAAAGACTTTTATCTAATTTCATATTATAATTGTTAGAGGTGTAATGGATCACAAATCTCATGGTTCGGATAGCACTATGGTTTTTGAGTCACGGATCTGACTATTTTTGGATCAGCAAATAAGGAAGGACATAAATGTCATTTGCTTTCCATTCATTCATTTTCTTTTCGGCTTAGTCCATTTATTAATCTGGGGTCGGCACAGCGGAATGAACCACCAACTTATCCAGCACATTTTGGTTTAACTCTGTTTTTTTTTATTAATAAGTTAACTGCTTTTTCTAGTTCTAGTCTTTTAACAGGCCGGTGGTCGTTTCTGTGCGTAGTTTGGATGTTCTTTCCATGCTCGCGTGGGTTTTCCCCGGGTCCTCCGGTTTCTTCCCACATTCCAAAAACATGCACAACAAGTGAATTGATCAATCTAAATTTAGCCCTACAGTCAATCTCATCCTGCAGCATATCTCTTCATAGCATTAAATTTTTAGTCGTCAGTTCTTATCAAGGAGAGTTCAAAGCTCCCCTCTTGCCCTGCAAACGGGAGGGAGCCCAGGGCTCTCTCCCGGGACAGCATGCCAAACTTGCTTATAGTCAATCATCAGCTAAGTGTGAACTCTTGAAGACGAAAAAAGTTGAAACTCTCTGTGGATGACACTGATATGACAACTTTTACCACAGTCCTGATCATATTAATCTTGCTGAGGAATTTCGCTTATCTTCAAGATCAGAGCTTTTAGCATCAGGATTTTAGCATTGCCTTTCAACAGAAGCCAACAGATTAACTATGGCATAATGGTTTGTGTGTTGGACTTGTGATCCAAAGGTTGCATGTTTGAGCCCCAGTACCAGCAGGGATTATTTGTGGAAAATTCCACCTTAAATACTATGGCTAATGTGATTCTCTTGAACAAGGCACCAAATCCCAAACTGCTCCACGGTTATGTTTGTAAGTCTCTTTGAGTTAATGTAAGATGTAATTATCTCACTTTCCTTTAAATTTTAATTCAGAACAAAATATTACAAGTAATGGTTTAACCAATGACTGTAAAAAATATGGACGACGCGACAGCCTCTTTTCCCATTGAATGCCTTGAGGGCAAAACGCCTGCTTGACGGGCACAAACTGTCGCAAAAGACTGCTGAAATTGGAGCCTGGACATGCGCAGAAGGACTGTCTGATGGAGCCAGAGGAGGAGCCGCGAAAATGAGCTGAATCAAGCTTCCAACCAAACACTTTATGTAAAATCAACCACACCCCCCAAACTTCTCACTCGACTGCCAGTGTCTGCACTATAACAAACGCTCGCTGATGTAAATAGAAGCACTTACATTTAAAAACACAGAATAATATATGGTTTAAAAATGGTGTGATGTAAGCTGTTAAACTTTAGGTGCGTTCGACTTCATGCAGCGCTGCGCAGATCGATCGAAATCTGTCTTAAAGCGGTGCATTCTGGTTAGAAATCTTGTCCGGATTGATGCTGCGCCGACGCCACGTGACTGTCACATGTGGCATCAAAGTACCGCGACAGCGCTCCGAGATCAGACGGCAAACTCAGACCGTGCAGCTTCTGAAGAGCGACTGCAGGAGCTTTGATGACGACACCGATACACCAAAACAAACAATTCACTTTTCACACCCTCTCTATCCTGTACAAATCTTGCTTATTAAAAGACTACAAATATTTTACTGCAGTAATCATCTTTTGTTAAATAATCTAGTTATAAAGGTTAGCTTATTTGCACAGGTTTATTTTTTAACTTTTTTATACAGACTATTTACTGCATTCATCTCCATGAATGATTTAAATGATATATTTAAGTGTATATTTTATTGAATTACCTAAATAAGTCTTACAGACTTGTAATAAAATAATCATCATCATTGATCCTGCCACCCTAAAGCTCTCTTAACAAATTAAAGTAAATAACTATTTTATTAAATAATTATAAAATGGTTTTATTATTATAATATAAATATATATTTTATTTCCTGTCTAGCAGTTTAAAGGCTACCTGCTCGTTCTGGGAAACTTCTACATAGCTCACTTATTTTACCTTTTGTTCTTTTCAACACAATCTTTTTGGATTAAAATGCTTTTTTGAAAATTCATTCATTATCCAAAATAATGTCATTTATTAAGACCTAATCAAAACACCTTGTTTTGCTTTTTACATTGGAAACTTTTATATCTATAAATGTACATATATGTAAACCCATTTTTAGCATATTCAAACAAGAAGTATTAGCCTAAAGGTTGATGTTTAACTCCTAGAATTTATGCTTATTGCTTTGTATCTTTAATAGACCTGTTCGTTTTTATGTTTATATTAACCTCTCATTTCCTCTTATTTCTCTCATGCATTTGTTATATATTTTATTCATAATTCTCTCTTATTGTTTAAAAAGGAACTACAGTTTGTAGAAACTGTATTCTGTTTTATTTGTAAATGTTTTGTTGTTATAAATAAAAATAACAAAAAAATATGATGACGCCATGTGATCGGTCATCATGACTGCAGCAACTTTGAGTCCCGAAGTGTCCAGCTGTCCGTCTTGACGGCTCCGTTTTCAACTCCGCCCCCGCTTGCGCTCGGCTAATCTCGTTGATCACCGGCTGCAGCTGAGCTTCATGTCGAACGCACCTTTTAATAAAAGCAATACATGCTGGACTGCAGAAATAAACAATCTTTTATACACTCTAGCCTGAACATAAGCACAAATAACATATTTTCTTATAACAGGGTTGTTGGTATTTGTTATCTTCATAGGGGTAGAAATAACACTTGTAAAATATGAACAAAAACATATAAACAACACGTACATTTTTAGAAAGGTTTTTATTTTTAATAAGTAATCAACAGAACCCAAAATAGCCTACACACCATAACGATTTACCAGGTGGGAACAATCGTGCGTTTAAATGATAAATACAGCAAGATTACTAAACATTATCAGGATATTTACACATCCCAACCCTGCAATTTGTCAATTTGTGCAAAAAAACTTTGCAGTATTAATACAATGTACATCTGCTGCAACATAGTATATTGCTTATTCATTTTTGCTTGAATTGTTTATTTATTTTACTTTTTTGCCTCCGTTTTCATTTGGTTTATTCGATGCCTTCATTATATATGGCAATGAGAAATTTACATTAATTTTAATGTTTAGTTGGAGTTTTCAAATAAAATGTCACGTTAGGCGTGATCAAAACAAAAGCAAAATAGGAACAAAAAGATTGTGGATTCAAGTGCAGATTTAATAGATTTTAAGTGCAGAAAACGGTGACTAAAAAATACAAAATCTCAAAAATACAAAGTAACAAATCAACAACAAAACAAGACAGATAACACGAACTAGACTTTGGCAAGATCAGGAACAAACTTACTAGGAGCAGGAAGACAAGGAAGACAACGACGCGATGACAAACATAGGTGGAATGGTAGAATATATAGTCCAGATAATCAACGGTAACACAAAACAGATGTGATGACAGATCAGTGTAGGTGTTCCGGTGTGTGCGCGGGGCATGTATGAAAATGTAGTCTTTTTAGTGAAGCGCTGCAGTGCCTAAAAGTCCCAGTGCACTACAGCGCCCTCAGGTGGTCACTGACGGATATGACATTACCCCCTCTCTAAAGAGCGGCTTCCAGACGCTCCCAGAGGGGGGGGGGTGGCAGAGCAGAGCAAGAACAAAGGGAGGGATGGGAGGGCCAGATCAGGGCAAGTCTGTGCTTCAGGCGCCCCGGCAAGAAGCCAGGGTGCGGCCGGGGAATCCGTCCCATAGAGTGGGGAGGACCACCAGGGAGGGGCGGGAGGGGTGATCCAAGGATGATCCTGCAGGAAACACAAGGCAGGGGGTTTTAGGAGAGCCGGCTGGAGATGCAACTGGACTGGAACCGGCGGAACTGGAGGTAGCTGGACTGGAGCCGGCGGGACTGGAGGCAGCTGGACTGGAGCCGGCGGGACTGGAGGCAGCTGGACAGGAGGCAGCTGGACTGGAGGCAGCTGGACTGGAGCCGGCGGGACAGGAGGCAGCTGGACTGGAGCTGGCAGAGCAAGGAGCCCGAGCGAGGTCGGCAGGGCCTGGTGCCGGACTGGGGCCGGCAGGGCAAGACGTCTGGGTGGTGCCGGCAGGGCAAGACGTCTGGGTGGTGCCGGCAGGGCAAGACACCTGGATGGCATTGGTAATGGCAGTAGCCGGGCTGGGACCGGCAGGGCGAGGAGCCTGGGTGGCGCCGGCAGGGCGAAGAGCCTTGGTGGCGCCGGCAGGGCGAGGAGCCTGGGTGGCGCCGGCAGGGCGAGGAGCCTGGGTGGCGCCGGCAGGGCGAGGAGCTTGAGTGGCGCCGGTAAAGCCAGGAGCCGGACTGGAACCGGCATTGAACTGCACTCTGGGGCTGGAGCCGACAGGGCGAGGAGCCTGGGTGGTGCCGGCAGGGCGAGGAGCCTGGGTGGCGCCGGCAGGGCGAGGAGCCTGGGTGGCGCCGGCAGGGCGAGGAGCCTGGGTGGCGCCGGCAGGGCGAGGAGCCTGGGTGGCGCCGGCAGGGCGAGGAGCTTGAGTGGCGCCGGTAAAGCCAGGAGCCGGACTGGAACCGGCATTGAACTGCGCTCTGGGGCTGGAGCCGACACTGGCGGGCGCTCTGGGGCTGGAGCCGACACTGGCGGGCGC